TGGATCCGGGATGTGGTGGAAGGTGGAGAGCTCAAACTCGTCAAGGTGCACACTGACCAAAATTGGTCCGACATGATGACAAAGCCGGTTCCAGCAAGAAAATTTGAAGACTGCTGTGAAGGAGCCGGGTTGATGCTGAAGCCGACGCATTGAAGTCGGAGGGGGAGATTTGTTGGGCTTCCTCCTTCAATGCTAAGCCCAAGCCCATTTGAGGGGTTTCCTAAAAACCCTAACCCTAATTTCCACCTCCTCTATATATACTCATTAGTTGTGGGTGGAGGCTAGGTCAGATTTGAGAGAACAAATTTGAGAGAAAAATTGTTTGATTGTTTGAGTAAAGCTTTATGCTTTGCATTTGAGAGATCTTTAGAGAGAGTTTGAGTGAAACATCTCTAGGGTAGTTTGATTATCACCATTGTTGGAGAGGTTGAGTTAACCACCACATTGGTGTATTTGATTCGTTGTAACCATTATTTTCATAGTGGATTTTTGATCTGGACTAGGTCCCGTGGGTTTTTACTTCTTCATTCAAGAAGGTTTTCCCACGTTAAAACTGGTTGTGCTCTTCTTCTCTCTCTCTCTCTCTCTCTCTCTCTCCTGTTTTGTGATTTTTCGTTTTTGATTTTTCCGCTGCGCTGCCCGACCTGGTGAAGTTCAGGCCGAGGTATAGCCGAGATCCGAGATCTGGATCTTGTTGATTGACTTCCGCACAAAGGCTGCTTAGCCGAGCTTGAGGGAACCGAGTTTTCCCAACAAAAAATATATGGAACACGTATAAGAATATGAGAAGAGAAAAGAGAGAAAATAAAACATAGACTCATTAATCTCTTATCTAAATAATGTAATTAATTATGATCAGGTTTGCTTCCAACTTTTCACCGACATTACATGTTGTTTGTCCTTACCTTACCCTAAACAAAGTGAAAGTGTCTATGTTTTAAATAAAAAAGTAAAATAAAATAAAGGGTTTTATGTTTATCATTTAACATAATATAACTTCAATTTCCTACACACACATTAAAGAGGTGGAGTCCACATGTTTTTCTTTTTCTTTCATGATTTCACTTTCTCTCTCTCTTTTGATGTGAGAGTTGGAAACAACACTTACATTATGTTACATAACACTAATAAAACCCAGATAAAATGGCACTAGGCTTTGCCGGCGTTTGCGTAACAAAATAAATAAATAAAAGAAAAAAGTTCAAAAATTTATCATGGTATTGCTTTGAATCACTAACATTCCTTTGCTTTATTTTTAGTCACTTAACTCTTATAATTTTTTTCGTTTACACTCTTTCTTGATGCTGTTAGAAACTTAATTAAATATACTTACTTTATCCTTCTTAAAAGTAGAAATTAGAGTGACAAAAAAAAGACAAAATACTATCAAAAGTTAGAACACTTCATAGTGTCAAAAAAATAATAAAAAAATATCAAATGTGTCTAAATAAAAAAAATTAAGGACAAAAAAATAAAAATAAAAATAAAAATCAAATTTGTTGAAAAATCATAATAGTGATAGAAAAAATTAAAAGTAAAAAATAAATAAAAAAAATCTGAATAAAAAAAGAAAATAAACCGAATACAAAAAAGGAAAAAAAGTATCAAATATACATAAATAAAAAATGTATAAAATAGACTGAGCAAAAATTGAAAAAAACAAAGATCAAGCATGTTAAAAATTTACAACACATATTTTTTTTTATCTTATTTTTTTCTATTTCTTTCAACAGTGATAAAAAAAATACTAAACATATCTAAATAAAAAAGAATAAAATAGACTAAGAACAAGAAAAAAGAAGAAAAAATAAAGCCAAATATATTGATAACTCACAACAGTAATTTTTTTTATCTTAATTTTTATTCTATTCTTTTTGTCCTAGGTATATTTTTTTCATTTAGACTTTTTATTTCTTTTTAACTTTCGTCTTTTATGTTACTGCTGTGATTTTTAACATATTTAATTTTTTTTTATCCTAAATATTTTTTTTATTTAGACACATTTGATCTATTTTTTCTTCTATTTTTTTTCTTTTAGTCGATTATTAAATTCTCATAACATTTGATTTTTTTTTGTCACTATTTTCTTTTTCTAATAAGTGTAAAGTAGGTGTTCCAGATGGCCCAACAAGAGTCAGGCCCAATGGTCGAGGCCCAGCACCCACCAAGCATCCACGTCAGCCCTACCTGCTGGGGCGACGCACACCCCCCAACGTGGTAACTTCCCAAGGTTAAACACCAAAGTATCCTACCTTGGGACCTCAACTCCCGAAAGCAGTCGCCCAAATGCCATAAGAGGAAGTTGTCCCCCTGTGACCCACGCTGACACCATCGGACGCAGAAGGCACAGCGCTGCTACGATGGCAGCGCCTGTCATGCCCAACACTGCCATCGGTATGAGACCCCAAGGAGAGTTGACCTTCTCCCCACCAACCTTCACCCAGTAAGCAGAATCTTCTCTTATAAATAGCCCCCCAGGGACACACCAGAAGGGATCTTATGTATCGTTATTATGCCCATTTCTGTTAAGTAACATATTTAACCATCATTCCTCCATTGTTATTAACTTGTTATACTTGGAATCATACCATCTAGCCTGGTCTTTACTAAGCTAGTGGTATCATCCATATAGTGACAACCCCCCAAGAAAACATAATGTACTTATAGATTCCAACGGTACAGTAGATATTTTAAATTAAGTTTCTAACAGTGTTAAAAAAAGGTGTCGATGAAAAAATGGACAGAGGGTTAAGTGGTTAAAAATAAAGTATAAAAATATAAGTGATTTAAAACAAAATCGGGGGGTTTGAACTTTTCCCTAAATAAAATGATAACCAATACTAAGTAGTTCTATTTAAGCACTGTAAGTACAATTATAAGCCGAAGAAAAATAAGAAGACAAACAACTATAGACTTAAAACATGTTGGAAAGCTTTGGATGCATTAGTTTATGAACTAAATTAATATTATCTTACAAGAAAGAGTATGTCGTATGTTATGAGATAAACTTGATGTGGGTCCCATTAAAAAAACCAAGATGGGACCCACCTTAATTTTATGTCACTCATATAAGAAAAGCTATCTCGTTTAACATAAGATTAGTTTAGCCCTTAATTAATTTATTTGGTAAAGCTTTTATAATATTATTATTATAATTATTACAACAAAAGAGGTCAAAATAGTAACTAGAAAATGATAGACTATAAAATATTGTTAAAGAAATTTTAACGAAGAAAAAATAATTAATAAATATTTACGAGATAGGATATTCTTACTATCAATTTTTTTTTTTTTTTACTTTAATCACTATTGGATTAGATAAAAAAATTGAATAAAGAGACGAAAAAGAAAAAAAAAAACTTTTGAATCCCATGGTGATTAAAGTGATAGTAGAAAAAATTGATAGTAAGAATATCATACCTCAATATTTACATTTATAAATGAATTTTTTATGATTAATTAAAACAAAAGCTATGATATGATTATGTCTAGATATACAAACTCAAACATAATTTTAAGTAAATATTTTTTAAAATATATAAAAATAATTTTATATAATTAATTATTAAAAATATATAAGATGCTTTTTTAAATAATATAATATGAAGGGGGAAATTCGGTTTAAGAAAATACGTCTACAAAATAATGAAACTGATTATAATCAAAACGTTAAATAGAAGCTTTTCTTTCTTCTTCTTCTTGTTTTTTTTTTAGAAGAAGCTGTTCAAAATAAGTCACTTTTCAGTGTAAAGTAAATAATTTATGGTTATAATGACTTTGATGAATGAAAAACATCAGTTCTCCTAAACTATGCTAATTTATTTGATTCATATATCATGACGTTGATCAATCGTAATCTTTGTACCTTATGACCTCTTCTTTTGTCCTCATCCATTGCGTTCCAGTCTTATTCGTCAAAGATTTTTCTTCTTGTCCATGTTTTTTTTTTTTTTTTCATTATTTTATGAGCCACGTGATTGACTCTTTCCATAGTTTAAAGGGCATAACACTTTATGGAGCTTGACTCCCTCTGAAACAAAGACATTAGATGGTGGTATACCCAAGACCAAGAGGGGCCTACTCAAATAGCCCACTTTCTACATTCCAATGATATTTGATAGTTTGTTGTATACAACTAAGCCACTCATGGTATAAGGTATGGTGCAAATGAGTGAGCCATGGTTTCTCTCTACTTGATTTTCGGATATTGTTTCTGAGAGGCATTATCGTCTAAGAAATGTCTTGGTGATATTTAAAAAAAAAAAAAAATTATATAATGATGACACTGAGGATCAAATCTATAATTCTATTCAAACTATCCAAATCTCTCACTAATTAGACCAATCTTAGTGGTTTTGTCTTGGTGCATTGCATGGTAGCTAAAGTAGTGGAACGTGTAACTTCTTCCCCAAACCGTATGGCCATTATAAAGAATACATGTGCTTTAAAATTCCGTTTGTGGTGCGGGCCTTACATTTTTATTGCAAAGCGCTGGTTTTGGTTGTTGAAAACTTGAATTCCACTTGCAAGATTATCCATAATGAATGATGAAATAAGACAATGTCAACAGACTACCACAATGGACACAATATTAATGAAAGTCTACCTTCTCTCAATGTTTCAAATTTGGTAATCAATTACATACTAGTAAGTTTATGGTCTTTCAGTTTTCATCCGCAATAACTGTTAATAACTATATCACTATCGTAACATGTGATACCTTCATTACTTGTACTTTAAAAGTACCCGAAACCAAAATTAATGCCAAGAACACCCTTTATTTCTTGCCTTTACGAATTACAATTAAATTCTTTTAAGAATTAATTGATGATTACATCCATGACCTTTTTTTTTTTCCATACACCCTCCAGGTCATTTGAGAACATTTTGGTACAAATATTTGGGGAGTCTAGCATTACTCTGTTGATCAATTATGGTGTTATTGTGTGTCCATTTAGACACTTTTCCCATCACTGAGAAAGCAGACAAGTAATTATGCATCAGTTAAAGATAATTAATAAGGTGTATGAAGCCAAGGAAAGGAATACTTAAAAGTATGAAGCAGGCTCGTCTTCCACATATAATATTATACTACATATGATCAAAGGTAGATGAAGATACACAAAATCCAAAAGTAAATAGATAGCAAGATCTGGTAGCCAATTCCCTTATCTTTCATTTAGTGCAATCTTCTGTTCAGTGGTTCAACGTACAAGAACAACTTTGTCAACTGAAAGAAAGCAACTCTGCATACCACTGGCTTCCAAATCTCTATTCCTTAGTAGACTGCTTTGCTGGATAAATAGTTTTATTCTCATTATAACACAGCAGAGGTTGCAAAATGTTCCAATGAGTCACTCCACAACATTCACCAGTTCATATTCAATAAGGGATAGGTTACTATCTTCCTTAACAGTGAAACTAGCAGGTTCTGTGACTTCAACACGGCCCCACTTGTCCACAGCAAGCCTCATTGATCCTTTGAACATGTCAATTTTGGCATTTCGCAGGATGACAGTAGAGCCCTCTTTCATCAGATCCACTGGACAAGAGGAAAATACAAATCAGAGGAAAATGTTTAACATTTATACATATCTCACAGCATATTCAGCAATGTTACTCAACATGGGATGTTGAGCCACACAAAATTTGAACTCACTCATAGACAACAAGAATGAGTTGTAGAGTAATATTTTTAACCTTATTTGGTTTGAATATTGTAATTAAAAATTTATTATTGAAAAATTGTACCACAAACATTGAACTTCATTTAAAGCTTGTATACTGCATAAAAAATTTACAAGTATTATTATCAAATACCTACGACCTATTGAGAATCCTGAACTTTATTCATCAGTTACCATAATGGGTCAACACTTATCATCCTTGTAAGCCAAAATCCATTTTCCTTATGGATGTAAATTGACACTCTGACTCCATATAAAAGAAAGAGGATGTGCCAATGGATCATTCATAGATCATTAATAGATCAACCATTGACCGTTTATGACAATCAAGTTTTCTACAACAACCACAAAACGCACATCAGTTTTCTTCTCCGTTCTTTTGTTTCCAATAAATTTCAATAAACTACAACCTTTTATGACAACCAAGTAACAAAGAATTATATTTTGGATACAAATCCTCTCCTTTTACTCACAAACAAGAGAGTCCTGTTATGAGAGAGAGACACGAGTATTATTGTGGAGGAATCCACCACTATTGTCTAGGGACCTACCAATTTGATGAAAAATCAGTTTGTCTTTCTATTAAACAGGACCTTCTCCTGTTAGTGAGTAGATTAAGAGGATCCAAATCCAACTTTTCTAGGTCCTAAATCATCTGGCCTTTGCAGAAAACTGTAAACCCCTATTATTTTTCAAGATCACTAAGATAACCAAAAACCACTCCTCATTAAACCCTGATTACCAAGGGTAGGGAAGAGGACAATCCTTGTAAATAACCTTACCCTAATATATTTGCAGAGAGACTATTTTCCGGATTCAAACCCGTGATCTTTCAATCACAAAGGAGCAGCTTTATCACTAATATAACCATTCAAGAATTTTTTTAATAAATTCATGTTTCTGATAATCATCCAGAAAATTTCTTAATTAAAACACAAATTCAGCATCATTTACTATCAATACACCTTGCTTCAATTGCAAAATCAAAGTACAGCATCAAACTCAAGCATAACATGGCATAAATTAGCAAGCACTCCTAATGGCATAAAGATGTGACAGAGTTGAATGACTTCATAAACCATTAATAGCCCACTACTTTGAAAGACACAAAAAAAAAAACTACAAAGAGCAAGAGAATAAGAGATCCTCATTAAAAAGCAGAAAAATCAATATCACCTTTATCCTAAACTAGTTAAGGCTGGTGGTTGATGAAACCAAATAAAAAATAAAAAAGGATTACGGGTAAAGAAAAACAAATATAAGAGAAAATAAATAAATAAATATAGGAAAACAGAACAAAAAAGGGCCATTTTGAATTATTGGTGATAATTTGGAGTGGGTGGCTCCATTGGATTGGGTTGGTACAGATGGTAAAAAATTAAAAAAAAAAAAAAAGATGCCAGAAATTTTTTTTAAACAAAAGATGATATAAAGAAATAATAAAAAAAGGCCACAAAAAAATAAAAATAAAAAAGATGACAGGGACAAAGAGAGAGCGAAAGAGAGAGAGAGAGAGAAGAAATAACAAAACAGGCCAGAAAAATAGAGAGAGGAAACCATAGCAAAGAGCAAGAGAGCACGCAATAGAGAGAGGAAGCCAAAGCAGAGAGCAAGAGACAACACAAAACTATGGTGCAGCTTCGCGCGCAGAGATAGAGTGGATAGGGGCAACTTCATGCCACAGGAAAAAGGAGTGGGTTTGGGTTAAATAAAATGACTAAAAACCCACATCTAGCTATTTGTCAGCAAAATTTCTGCAATTTGACCGCAAAAGCGGACGTAATGGCCGCAATTCCTTTCTGGCACGGCGCAGAGTCCGTTCTTGCAGTGGGCCACCGCAACCCTCATCCAGCACGGCTATTGCGCCATTAACTACTATGGGCAATACAAATCACAGTCAATCAGAAAAGGCTCTAGATTACAGCCTTAATCTCAAAATCAGTGTGCTTCGATTCATTTAGGCATCTCTGATTAGAATATTCAGTGTAGTTCTATATTTCCATCATTTCAAGACCATGGCAAAGTTATTAAATGCGGATTGCAGCTATATATATATATATATATATATATATATATATAATGACAAAGTTATTAAACTTATTAAAGTTATTCTATAGCGCTATAGCGGGTTGTGATTGCGGAAATAGCGGAATAGATATATGACAGAAATAATGACAAAAAGAAACATTTTTTAAAGGCAAAATTGACATTTTGCCGTATGACAACAATATGGCTGCGATTGGCGATCGCAATGGCCGTTGTTGTGTTCCAATGCGGCGCAGAGCGGTTTCTTGCTGTGAGGCACTGCAACGCCCATACGATGCGGCTTGCGGGGCTATTGCGGCGCAATTAACTACTGTGGACCATGGTTATCAAATGCGGGTAGCAGCCGGTAGCGGCCGACCCCCAAAAACACTATAGCACTATAGTAGGTATTGGTGGCATAATAACACAGTCCTATGCATAAAACTGGTATATAGATATATATACCACACATACAAATGCTAAAAAAATAAACTTAAAACCATAATAAGAATTCTAAATAATCTTGTCAATTAAAAGGATCCAAAATATTGTCAATTACAATTAGAAAAAATGAGTTAAAAACATCTTCATATAAAAATAAATAAAAGACAGCAACGCAAGTAATCTAACAGCTTCAGGAAAAAAAACAAAAAAAAAAAAAAAAACAAAATGTTGCTCAAATGAAGTGAATGTAAGAGTGAGTTAATAATTTAAAGAGTGTTTATGGTTTAAAAAAAAAAACAGTTGAAAACCGAAAACAAATACTTGCGTAACCAAAAACAAGAAAAGAGAACAGAGAGTTAAAAAAAAATAAAGGGAAGGATGAAAAACGTAAAAGGGTTACACTATAACCAAAAGCAAAAAAAAATTGAAAGAGAACAGAACAGAGTGGAAAGAATAGAGACACAAGAGAGAAGTCAGACAAAAGAAATGTCACCGTCACTAGTTGTCGTCATCGAAGGTCGTCGCTGGTTGCTCATTGTAGGTCGCAAAAGAGAGAGAGAGAGAGGAGTCAAGAAGTGGTATTGATGAAGGGAAGAAGGATTTCAAGGGTTAAATGACAAAAACACCCTTAAAGTAATATTATGATTTTAAAACAAGGGCAAATATGTAAAGTTGCTCCCTTTCACTGTACGCGATTTGCTGCAATATGGCCGCAATAGTGCCTGCTATGGCCGCTACCTTGAAGTGAAGCATTATGTCGCATCATGTAGCAGCAATAGGCTGCAGCGCTAGAGCGCCGCGATTGCACGCTATTGACTATTGTGTTCAAGACTTGATTACTTATAAATCTACATTCATGCAAGACTTATGATTAGTTTAGTTTTGAAACCATTTATAAAGTCACATCTTACATATCATATGTGAAATTAATATAAAATTTGGGTTGAAGCTATTATTGCAAGTATTTTCTAACATTTTATAGGTCTTGATGTCTTCTATAGCATGTTTTTAAAGATAATTATTAATTTGTAAGTTGTTACCATCTTAAGGACAATACAAGACCATAGTAATCAATAGCATGCTATAGCGCTACAATGGCGTGAAGCAGCTACAGGACACAACGCAACATGTCCCTTCAAGGTAACAGTCGTGGTGGCCGCTTTTTGCACCAAATTGCGGCGCAACAGCCCCCCTACAGTGAAAGGGGACAAGTTTTCATATTTGCGCATTGCTCTCATTTTAAATTCTTAACATTCATATTTTTAAGGGAATTTTAATCTTTTAACCCTTAAAGTATCTTAACCCACCCTCTCCCCTTTGTCCACCTGTGACAGCAACCAGCAACCTTCTCTCTCTCTGTTCATCTATCTATTCTCTTGTGTTTCTGTTCTTTCGTCTCTTTATTTTGTCCTCTTTTTTTTTCTTGGTTACACTTACACCCCTTAACTTATTAATATTAACCAGAAACACCTTTAATCTATTAACTCTCTATTTTATTCTCTTGTTTTTGGTTACGCTAATTTTTTATTTTGGTTTTTAACTTTGTTTTTAACCAAAAACACCCTCAAATTATTAAATCACTGTTACATTCACTTCATCGAAAAACTTTTTTTCTGTCTTTTATTTATTCATGACACGGTTTTTTTTTTATGATGCCATTAGCCTAACCGAGTTAATATCTCTGGCTTCCTTTCAATTGACAGTATTTTGAATCCTTTTAATTGACAATAGTATTTAGAATCCTTATTTTGAGTGATAATATATTTAATTATGGTTTAGGGTTTATTTTTTGGCATATATATGTATGATATATCTATATAACAGGTTCATACATAGGACTCCGCTATTACGCTACCGCTACCCGCTATACCTCTTTCGGGGGTCGGCCACTATGGGGTTCTACCAGCATTTGATAACTATGTCAAGACAAGAACTAACATGTATCAGAACATTGGTAACACATCCTAACAAAATGGACAAATCCAAACAAGCTTATTGCATAATATGCCAAAATAACATAAGAAACCTTCCCCAAAATATATAAAAAAGAATGTAAAAATATGATGACAAAGTCAAAAACAATACCATGAATAAGGAAAACCTATATAGAGGCAACTACACAAAACCAAGGCAATAATATCCATACCTTGATCATTTCTGGCGGTGAATACGATCATTCCTGTTTCATCACCCACCAAACATTCAGCAATTCGCATTTGACGAGGTTGAGGACCATCGGGACGACCCTTCTGCATCACCATCTTAGAACTGACCACTTTCACAGTTAGAGTATGTCCACTAGTCCCCGGGCGAAGCTGCTCAACCTTGGTGAATACTGGCTTTCTCAATCCTGGTTTTGATTCTGCCATTTCTAAATTCCTACAAAAACCAAACGTCACGAGAAGGTTCCACTAAGAGTCTAACGCAACAGAGGAACAGGTGCAGCATACAACCATGTATATCTTACAAGATATTAATACATAACCCAAAACGATAAAATGTTTGATTAATTGATTCCCCTCAACCCCAAAAGTATAATATATACACATCAATGATTTTTTATTTATTTTTTCAAATTCATATTGATTAGGGAAAAGGGTAAAGGAACAAAATTGGGTAATAAAAAATGTTACTTTTTACCTTATTTATTGAAAATTTTGAGCCAAGGAGAAAACCCTATTTTGGCAAATATGAAGTAATCAAAGTAAGCAGCAAGCTCAATTAACACGAATTGCGTTGCATAAACAAATCAAGCTTAAACGGATAAAAAGTTTAGAGCTTTACCATATCCTGAAGGTTCAAAGTGGAAAAACAAAAACAGCAATAATAGGATTTGGAACCTGACCTGAAACTTGAAGTGAAATTGAAAGGCGAAGAGGGTGTTACGAAATTGGGAAAATGGAGATCTGAAATATCAAACGTAGCCGTCAAGGTCGGTTTTTAAGGTATGTTAATGTTCACTGCTGTTGGGTCAATGTTGACCCGACCCGACCCAACCTTCATTCTTCGTAAATTACAAAAACATTAAAATACATCGAAAAATTCCTCTCATAACAATATTGGGAATATGACCCAACCTTCATTCTTCGTAAACTACAAGAACATTAAAACACATCCAAAACTTTCTTTTTTTTTTCTTTTTTTTTTTCAAATATGCTCCTACTGATAGCTGAAGATTAAACATTTCAAGATGGGAAATCATATTAAATTAGTAAATTTCTCTCGACAAAGCATTTTTCATACACACAGGTAGGGATCGAACATCTATTCAAAATGCTAAAGGAACACAGCTATCTTCCAACTGTTATGAGCTTTGTTGGTTTCATGTTACATAAGTTAAAATTATCTTATGCACATGCACAATAGAATGAGTGAAACCATGTAACATGAGATATTATGCAGGTTTTATAATTCTCATTCAACATGAGAATTAAAATCTTTCTATACACCCTTTGATTTTCGTGTTAGCATGGGTCCTACATATAATTTTTTTTAATATATGGGTCTCACATGCTTTTTGTCTCTACAACATAAAAAAACCCATATTATATTCCCATAAGTATTTGTTCTTAGAACTTACAAAAGGGTGTGATATCATTTTTCTGAAATATAAACTATAATTTTCTCTTTAAGGTGAGTCGCCCCTCCAAATATCCTCTCAATCTTTAATTATTTGAGTTGACTATGAAACTAATTATGAGTCCGAGTAGAGCTTAGTCACAATTAATGTCATTTTTAATCTTTTTAAATTGGACAATTTATTCACCAAAAAAAAAAAGTGAACAATTTTGTTCTTGTATTTGATTTTTTCAAATCATGTGACTATTTCTTAATAAATTTCTTGATTAAATATTCAATTTCACCCTTGTAATTTAGTGCCTTGTTGAAATGTCTTTTTCTGTTTCTCTTTTTCTTATAAATAGAAGCTAAGTCATATGAGTTTTTTTTATAAAAACTCTTATTATAAAAAGAGCTTTTTTATAATAAAAAAAAAAAATAAAAGCTCTTTAAGACGAGTATTTTTTATGATGTATGTCAACTTTATTGACACTTCATTTATTTTATAGTTTTATCCTTATTCTAAACTTGTATTTGTAGCTTTTATTATTTACCCTAATAATTCATTCTAATAATAACTTATTTTATTTTCCTTTTTTCAAAATATCATAACAACTTTATATAATCATCAGAAAAATTTAACTTTATTTTTTATTTTTTATTTTTAACTTTAGCTTAAAGTATCTTTTAAGCTAAAAAGAAGAGGTTCAAATAGACTCTTAAAGTCATTATACATTAGTTTTAAAGCTTAAAAAATATATTTTAAACTTGAGAATTTCTTTTAATGTTTGATAAAAAATTAAATGAAAAAATAGAAAATGGGTAAATTAATTTTTTATTTCTCTCCAAGATATACCTTTGGGATACACAAAACACAAAAGCCAATTTAGTCTAGTAACTTTGTTCAACTCAAATTTAATTGGTTTGGAGTGGATTTCAAAATAAGATCCAATATATTTCCGATTCGAGATGATTCAATTAGCATAATATTATGCACTTTTTTAAGACGCATCTGTTATAAATTATAAGATTTTTTGAGTAAAATCAATGATTCATTCATAATTTAATAATATTTTAATGTTGATAGAATTTGTTTGAAAATATATATTATAAAGTGTTTATTAATTTAAGTTTTATATTTCTAAATTGTTATGATTTAACTATGCGTATTGTCTAAACTTATATGTTTTATCTTAATTCTTAGTGAACTCAATCTCAAGCTCATCATTTAGAGAGGGGAAAAAGTTAATCTAATCAAAAATCACATTAATGTTATACCGTGTACCCCATAAGCATCACTAAATATTTCTCTGCTTTTATTCTTAGAGAGAAGAAAATACATTTAAATTAAAATTACAAATAAATGTTTTGTGAGAATAGTGTTATTTTTATTCGGTTACGCTATTTTTTAACAAACAAATGGATTAGGCGCATAGGCATAGACAAAGATATAATAAAACAATAAAAAGTAACATCAGTTAGGAGGCGTTTGGCAGAGGAAATTTTTTTTTTATTCGCGAATCTCAATTTTCAGAAATATAATTTTTACATTCAGTTTATGATAATATCCATAAATTTAAAATTTAAAAAAATTCAATTTTCCAAAAATTCTGAAAAATATTTTGTACCAAACGTCTTCTCGGAGAAAATAACTCAAGATATGTATAAACTAACGAAAATTGAGCCCGTGAAAAAGCAAATGTGAATGTTTGCAAAACGATTCGCATAATAAATTTCTTTCGAAACACATTGTGGTAAATCATTTCTTTTCTCTCTTTTTTTATACATGGTAAATCATATTTCAATTCCTACTTAGAAGCTCTTGTAAAATGAAAGTGAAGATTTGGAATTTAGTGGTGTCTAATATGATTTTGATAATAATAATAATAATAATAATAAAGAAGCATAAAGGATAAAACACGCAATGATAAAAAAAAAAATCATGAAGTAATCCAATTTAATAATAAAGTTTTGCAAGAATAAACAAGTTCAAGATCAAAGTCCAAGCATCAAAGCATGACACTACGTCAAGATTATGTTAGAATATATTTTGAGGACTAATAATATAATTGTAAGAGCGTATGATAATTTGCATTGTACGAGCTCAAAGCATTTCTAAAATTGCATACTTCAAATATACGTAAAATCCTAAATTTGATCCCTCAATGATAACTGAAAAGGCTTTAACATATTTTGAATTCACAAGCATTCATCCATTATCCATTTACATATGATCATAGTTTTGGAATTCTATTTCATCAGAAGGGATTAGTTGTACACATTAAAAATATTATCTATCATATATATTCAGATAAATATTATAATTTGTCCGGATAACTTGAGAATTTATATGGATAAAATGGGCAAGAACAATTTATTCAATATGGCCCAACATTTATCCGAATACATGATGTCTTTCCACTACTAGAAAAGTTCATTTTTTCGACGAAAAAATTCCGTCGAAAATAATAAAAGTTTTCGACGGAATTCAGGCCGTCGAATTTCTCTTCGTTGATAACAATTATTTTTTATCAATGATTTCCAACAATTATTTTTTGTTATTAACCTATATATACTCCATCCCAACGGGTGCCAAACACTCTTGGATAATTTGTTGATATTTATTGAGTCATTATTATTGCACCTAATTCATTCTTAATCATTCAATTCTTTGAGCTCTTAGTTTGTGAAAGATCGTATACTCATTATAAGGTTCAGCTTATATATTTGCACTCTCAAATTCTATATTTATTTCTAAACACCTTATATATTGTAATTTTGTGATTAATGGTAGCAAGACCTAAAGGTAGCCAAATACCCAGATATTTGGTGGAGTATGTAGCGGTTTATCAAACACCCTTTCAATTGGATATAGATCACAAATGATGATGGTCAAACTAAGATCAATCTTAGTTTTTATTTCTCTCTAGCATTAAACTCCTTATTTTCAACACTTTATAATTGATTTATTTGAGCTTATTTGACTATTGCATAGTTGTGTTTTTTAGACTTTACATTTCCAAATTTATCTAGCTAATTTTACCTTATATTAAATATTCTTGAAAATTACTTGTTATGAAAGGAAAAAGCTATTTGCAAAGAGATTTTTTTAAAAATTAAATTAAAAATCCCTCTTGAATTATTGAAACCACTTTTCTAACCATTCATTCACAAACACAATGAAAAAAGTACAGAAGCCCAAGGCTCACACTTGAAATGCATAAGTTGATTGATAATCTTAGAATTCACTTCAAGAATAACTTTTCTATAATCAATATCATTAATGTTGTAGATTGGCCACACAAGCCTAGCCCTATATGGGGCCATACCCTTGCATCTCTAAAGCGAGACAAATGTTGCCTCTCCACACTAAATCTCACTTCCCATGCACATGCACCTCATGCATAAGACAAAGATACTTGTCTCACACCTAATGGTGCTCACAAAGATAGAAACAACTACGGCTCTCATCTTACTCATCATTGGAGAATCTTCTATATATATATATATATATATATATATATATATTCTTCTTCTTCTTCTGCCATTGAAGAAGCACTTCTTGCACATCTACTTACCTTGTTGTTACTTTGTTGAAATACGGTCTCAAGATCAACCGTGACCAACATTTCCCCTTAATTCTTAGCCTTTGCTTGAGACTTATTTACAATGACTCTTTTATTGAGCTTAGGTTCATATCTTTGCCTCACTAGATCACTATTACATTGACATACTTTACCCTTAAGGGGGTGTTTGGTTCAAGTTTTTGGAGAGGATTACCGGTAATCCTTCTTTGGTAAATGTAATTACCACGTTTGGTAGAAGGAATAAATTACGATTCCCGGATATCCAAGGATTACCGGTAATTTGATTTATAAAGAAAAGTCACTATTCAGATTACCAAAAATAATATGGTAATTCGGAATACCAATCAGAATACCAAGTAAAGGGAAAACACAACAATAAATTTTGAGACAAAAATACCCCAATACACATAAAAAACTAGACTCAATCTATCAATTACAAAAGTAAAAATAGTTTGGGGTTATTTTTGTAAAATAACCTCATATTTCAAGTCATATTTCGTTCTAAACCAAATATGGAATCAGTAATTTTTACCCAGTATTTCCGGTAATATTTTGGCGAACCAAACACATCTTTCGTAAGATTCCAAGTAAACTCAATTTCTACTGAATTCCCATTAATCATGATTCCCGGTCACCAAAAAATTTCTCCTGTACCAAACACACTTAAAGGAAAACTAATCCATTTCCACCTCAATGACAGTTCATTGGCATCATAGGTGGGAATTGAATCCACGACCTCATGGAACAATGATTTAATGAATCTTATTTAGGCTTAGGCCCACTACCCATGAGACCCATTGACTAAGGGCAAAAACCTAGACCACTTTGGGGACTTGGGTACAGTTTCCATATATAAACAAGGTCTTCATCCTCATTCATGAGGCTACACAAGTATCTTTTTACCTTATTAGTTATATCGCTCTTACTGACTTGAGTGTCAGAGACCTTGCAAATATACTATCCCCTTATTCCACCAAAGCACACGAAGGGGCTTTTCACATCAACTACCATGAGGCCTACTCCATAAAAGCTTAAGCACAATCTCACATGATCATGATCAAGTAACCACATATGAACAATTTTTTCGCACAAATAATGTGTCGGGCTCACCAACAATAACAAGCATACTCACATGATCAAATCGACTATGTCGTTTTCTAATGTTTATGAGTCTATCTTTTCACTACCTGTAAAAGCATATGTACTGAAATCTTTTAGCTAGGTGATGTTTTTATGAAATATATTATCTAAGTACTTAAATTGGAATAAAAAGCATTCCTATGATACTCGTTTGAAAAACATTCCCTAAAAAGAGGAACTTTGTATACTTTGAGTACAATTCTTGTAATATTTTTTTCATGATGAAGCAGTGATATCGATACGGAACTCCATTCCCATCATTGTTATTTACAAGTGCTAACATTAATAATTTTTGCATATACAAGCAGTGATTATTTTATGAAAAATAATAATTTTATGTAAACAAAAATACAAAAAAATTAAAATAATAAAAAGACCTCAACATAAATTAATCCTTGATATCGATATGGAACTCGAGTTTTATAGAGCCTTTCCCCATGTATCTTTTTTGGGTGTAAGGGTATGCATGACAACCATTCTATTCCCTAGCACTATTTATGAAAAGAAACAATTCTTTTCTATTTTTGTGTCTTGGAACAGTTTCTGAGAAAAAAAATGTGTTTGATAACATGTTCTATTTTTATTCCGAGAATGAGAATTGTGTTTGATAACACAACGAATAATATAATAAAAAATAATTTCTATTAAATATAAAAAAAAATTCTGATCATCACTTTCCTTTTCATATGGTGTGGTTGTGGTGGTGGCGGCGGCGGCGGTACAGTAATGGTGGTGGCAGTGACGTGGTGAAGATAGTGGAGGTGGTTGTGACGGCAGTGGTTGCGGTGGTGGTAGTGGTGGGGATGGTGGTGGGGGAGGTGACGACAGTGCTGCGACAATGGTGGTGGGTATGGTGGTTGGTGGCGGCAATAATGGTAGCAGTGGCATGATGGTGGTGGTTGTGAAGGCATCATGGTGGTGGTGGTGGTGGTGGCAGTGGCTGCGACGGTGGTGGTAGTGGTAGTGGTGGCGATGGTGGTGGTGGTGACAGTAATGACTGTGACGATGGTGGTGGTGGTTGGTGGTGGCGGCGACGATGACGATGACAATGGTGGCGACGGTAGTGGTTGCGACAATGGTAGTGGTGGTTGGTGACAATGGTGGTGATGGTTGTGGTGGCGTCGTGGTGGTGGTATTGATGGCAATGGGGGTGGTGGCAATGGCGTGTGATGGCAATGGGGGTGGTGACAGCAGTGGTTGTTATGATGGTGGTGGTGGTTGATGGCAGTAGTGGTGGTAGTGGTGACGGTGACATTGATAGTGGTGGCGGCGGCGGCGGTAGTTGTGGTGGTGGTGACGGTGGCATGGTGGTCGTGATGGGTGGAGGTGGTAGTAGTGGTGGCGGTGGCATCGTGGTGGTGATGACGACACTAGTGGTACGATGGAGGCGACAACGATGGTAGCGGCAGTCATTTCAGAATGATGATGGTGGTGGTGATGATTATATAGGTGGAGAAAGTGATTGAGAGAAATAAGGTGTTTCTCATTTTCTGCCGAGAACAAAAAAACAGAAAAAAAAATTTTTGATTCTTTTTTCTGTTCCCCAATACAAAAATCAAACCGGTTCATCTTGGGAACAAAAAAAATAAACTGATTTTACCAAACGAGTTTTCTATCCATTTCTATTTCCAGAAACAAAAATTAAAAGAATTGATTACGAAAAAATTGTCATGCACATCCTAAATTAACCGCTGATGAAAAGGGACAAACAAGATGTGGCAACTCACAAACCTACCGTCACGGCGTCGTTTTACTCACGAGTCATGTTAACCGGCGTTTCTGGTATATTCATTTATTCACTTTGTGATTATTTTTCTTGACGTGTCGAGCAACAGTTGGATAACGTGAACGCGAGTGTACATTAATCCGATTCGTATGTAACAAACAAAACACCAACGTTAAACTTAGTTACTTTATAAGCCAATGGGTGGTTGATGGTTGAAGCAGAAACAAGTGATAAGCCGTTAGTAAGCATGTCTGCGAGCGCTGCACTCTCCTCCACAACTTCACACCTCACTCTCCTTCCTTCTCTCCCTTCCACCGCTCCACTTTCTCTTAGATTTTCCTTCCCTTTCCGGGAAAACAGAAACCAAATTTCACCTCTCACAACCCTTTTCCCTCACAAGCACCCGTTTTCATCAGCAAGGCCTGCCAGAGTCTTGGTGAAATCTCAGGCTACTGCACCTGCTTCTACTGAGGCTGTGAAAGTGACACCTGTGCCTTCTGACATGAAGGCCTGGGTCTATGGAGAGTATGGGGGTGTGGATGTTTTGAAGTTTGATTACAATGTTGCTGTACCTGATTTGAAGGAGGATCAGGTCCTTGTTAGAGTTGTTGCTGCATCTCTTAACCCTGTTGATGCCAAGAGAAGGCAGGGGAAGTTCAAGGCCACTGATTCTCCTCTTCCGGTTATTCACTTTCTTTCAAATTTGTTTAATTTCTGTTCTCTCAATCTTTTCTTTTTATTTGTTTTGTGATTGGTAAATCAATGTAAGTGATAAAGTCTAGTATTGGGTAACAATGAAATAAGCAAGAAATACATAATGAAAATCACTCCCATTACACCGCGATTAGCGACGGTCGGGTCAGGATAATTCTTGTATAGAGCCTTATATTTACAAATTTGTACTCACGGATTCAAACCCATAATCTTGCAAAATACCCATAAATTTAATGTATTAAGATTGAGTTTTATAAGAGAAATTTTCCTAGACACCCTTTCATTTTCGTGCTGACGTGAGTCTTATAGATGACTTTTTCTAAGATATGGGTTTCAGATGACTTTTGCCTCTATGGCATAAGAAGACTCATCTCATGTAATAATATGAGATGTATAAAACTCATTAAGATTTGGGCTTATACTTGATGCGAAACCCATAATGATTTTAATTTTTCTATTTAGTAATCTCCTTTATTTGGGCTCTATAACATTTGGAAGGGTGGGATTTCTCTCTAGTGGGAAAATAGGACGTATGAAAGAAAATTACAGTAGGTGGTGAATTTCCATTCTATGTTCCTAAGGAAAAGGAATGATTAAATTAGCATGCTTATTGTACTCTTTTTACCTTGAAATTAAATTAGCACCTCAATTCAGTTCTAGCACATGAAGAAAAGGGGATAAATTCAATAATTATAGTGGAGAAAGGAGATTACAAAGTTAGTTATAAGTGAAGATGATTTTAACTGTTGAGGAAAGCTCAGAGTAATTGAACGTAAAGAATATTGGTTGATGTAGTCTTGCAAGAGAATTTAGGTTAAAAAGGAAGGAAAAGCTACAAGTGATTTCTTAATTTTGTAGGAGTAATTATGTCATGAAATCAAATTTGTCTTGTTTTGTCCATAGACTGTTCCGGGCTATGATGTTGCTGGTGTGGTGGTGAAGGTTGGTAGTCAAGTAAAGGACTTCAAAGTGGGTGATGAAGTATATGGGGATGTAAATGAGAAAGCACTGGAAGGGCCTGAGCAGTTTGGGTCTCTGGCTGAGTACACTGCTGTTGAGGAGAAATTGCTGGCACCAAAACCTAAGAATTTGGACTTTGCTCAAGCTGCTTCTCTTCCTCTAGCCATTGAGACGGCTTATGAGGGTTTGGAGAGGACTGGATTTTCTTCTGGCAAATCTATTCTTGTTCTAAATGGCTCTGGTGGAGTTGGAAGCCTAGTGATTCAGGTATTAATTCTCCAAATTAGTTCCTTCATACTTAAAATAAATACATCAATAGCAGGTTTTAATGTTTCTCCTCTTTTAGCATTATATATATGAAATGATTTATATCACAGTTTCTGAAATAAGTTAGTCTTTGCCTCTTAGACAATGAATCAGTGACTAAATCCATTCACTTAGTGAAGGCTTCAACTAGTATTGCTGATCTTACTGCCAGTCATTAGTGCTCAGTAAATATATAGTTTTAAGAGTGTATTTATTGGTGAACGGTAGTGCTTGCTGACAATTTAGCCATTTTGACTTCTAATTGTACTTATACACTGTATAGCCATTTCCCTGCAAAATTAAGCTTCTATTCAGCTCAAACTTTATCAGGAAACTTGATATTTGATGGAAGTTTTTTTTTTTCTTTCAAAACTTGGCTTATCAAACCTTTTTCCCCATGTGTCTACCCTTAAAACCACACACTTACAAAAACTTACAACTCTGCTGTCGATTTAAAAAGGTTTGTTTACAGTTCAACGACACAGATGCAGAGATTGTAAGTTTTTGTAAGTCTATGAATGTAAGAGTAACCTGACGCCTAATTGCAATGGTTTTAGAGTACTCCAATTAAGTTTCTGGTTTCAAATTTCTAGCATGAAGGAAAGCACTAGAACTTTAAAATGCTATAAGAAAATTCGTACACTTGACAAGTTATGTTATGCATACCTTCAATGACTAACAGCTAGCTAAGCAAGTTTTTGGAGCTTCAAGAGTTGCTGCAACTTCAAGCACTAGAAATTTGGAGCTGTTGAAAAGCTTGGGAGCTGATTTGGCTATTGACTACACAAAGGAGAACTTTGAAGACTTGCCAGAAAAATTTGATGTAGTTTATGATGCCATTGGTAAAATTCTATTCTCCTAGTATCAGTATTGTTCTTCCAGTCTTCCATACAAGATTCTCAAACAATTTGGCGAGAAGGGTTTGTGAGAAATACATTGTTATTGTTGCATGCCTAAATTTCTATTTCATTAGATAAATAATTTATACAGCTATGAGTAGATTATGAAACGGCATTTTCAAGTTATTTTGAGACTAAAACATGTTTATTCGAGATAAAAAAAACTGTAAGCTTGTATGTCTTGATTTTCAGAAATTCATCAGAATATTGAATCTATTAGGTAAGTAAGATACACAAAAATTTCTTTTTCATATCGTTGATAGTTGATAGTGCTTCATTTTATGCTGGTTATTTACAGGGCAATGTGACAGGGCTGTGAAGGTTGTGAAAGAAGGTGGAATTGTGGTAGCACTCACAGGTGCAGTTACACCACCTGGCTTCAGATTTGTAGTCACTTCCAATGGAGCTGTTCTGAGGAAATTAAACCCTTATTTAGAGAGTGGAAAGGTGAAACCAGTTATAGACCCCAAAGGTCCATTCCCCTTTGCACAGGTTGCTGAAGCCTTCTCTTACCTTGAAACAAACCGAGCTACAGGAAAGGTTGTTGTACATCCCATCCCATGAATCAAATAAAAGGGATAGGCAATTTTGCTTTTTGTGTGTAGTAATGTTACACAATGTATGAGTAAAGCTGAGTTCTGATTACAGTTAGAAAATATAAAAAAAACTTCACTCTTTCATTCTTGCTCCTTTTGAACTTTTCATGAAAATTGTTTGAAAGCAAAACTTGTAAGAGAATTCTTCATAGCTAAAGGAGATAGAGTAACATCTGCTCAGTTAATTCTAACAAAAGAATATGCTTTATGGTTATCTTGGATAGTTGGATCATTCGTGTCAACAAATTATTTATGAACGTGAGATCTAGAGTGTTAGATTATATTTTGAACCTTGACAGAAATAACATAAATGTCTAAATTTTTGTTACCCAACAAATTATATTTCAAAATATTAGACCAATAAATCTTACCCATTTATTATTCTAGCTCTATTTGTGAAAAAAAAAAATATATAACACAAATGAATTACAAATTTTTCAACCCTATGTAATTGGTCATCAAACAACTAACAATAAGTGGCATAAGGACTCGTACACAAAAAAAAAAACAATAACCACGTTTGAAATATTTTACATATTTTCATATAAAGTTTCAACCTATGATGCACCGACACTTTAAAATTCCTGACATGTCGTATTCGACACTAACTGACACTCCGGCATTTTCCAACACTCTAACACACATTGCAGATACTCAAAAAAGGATTCAAAATTTGCGTTGCTTTGCATTTTTAGTTTTAAGTATTAGATTCGTTGGATTATGATTAACCTTTTATTGAGTTTAATATAAATATTTTGAATATGCTATGTTTCTTTGCAAAATTGATGAGTATTGTAAGTTTAGCTTCATTTTTTTGTTAAATTATTGAATATTAAATATAATATAACTATATAAATTAAAAATATTATTTAATATCAAAGCATGATTATATCAAAATCTAACATTTTTAGAGTTAATTGTTAATATTATTGATTAACTTAAGATTCCAACCGGGTCAATCACCGGTCGAGTTTTCATAACATTGGAAGGGACCCAACAGGTGTAAGTCTGTACTGTAGGCCTCTTCATCTCAGTAGCGTATTGGGCTTTGCTCCACAATTGTATGTGAGTAATTATGGGCCATTATTTCTGGTCTTAAACTGTTGGCGATCCTGGGTCGTTGACAAAGACTGATTCAAAATCATGATAACGAGTTTGACACTGTAACGAGGTGTCAACCCCACCAAGTACGTAATAAACGAAGGAATGCAATTTTCAGTAACAAAAATAAGAATTAGGCGTAATTTCTCAAACTATTTTTTTTTGTCCAATGAAAAATGGCAAGCAACAGTTATGCGTACCGTGGATTGTTTTCCCTGAATCAAGAGCTTAGAATTCCTTCTATCGATTCTTGTTTCCTTCGTGCTTTTAATTGTGTTATGAGTTATGACATGGTTTGGTGATAAAATTGTCAAAATTTCTTGGGCTGCTTCAATACAGTAATCAGTAATGCATATTTCCATATGTCATATATGATGTGCCTTATTTCCGCGTTTAGGTTTAAATTATTGAGTCAAATCAGTTTAGCTGCTTTTTAGGACTAAGATAGGACCCAGTTGCTGAATATTCAATTCATATGCTAGTAATAGGAGGCAACATCGACTAAAATGTGATTGTTCATTAACTTTTTTACCTAAATGCCACGCAAACAGTGTTATTTTCCAATATGTCACGTGAGCAAGTTCGCTGGACACTGTAGCGAATTCGATTTACTGACGTGTCACGTTTCTAGTGGACACAGGTACCAAGTTCGCTACTGGGAGTAGCGAACTTGGTTGGAATGTATAATTGGAAAACGTGACATTCCAACCAAGTTCGCTACCCGCAGTGGCGAACTTGATACTTGTGTCCACTAGAAACGTGACACGTCAGCAAACCGAGTTTGCTATAGTGCCCAGCAAACTTGCCCACGTGATATATTGGAAAATAACACTGTTCGCGTGGCATTTAGGTAAAAAACTTGGTGAACAGTGGCATTTTGATCTCTGTTCTGTACCAGGAGCATCCTGCAGTTTTTGTTTCTTCAACTTCTTTTTTCTTTTTCTTAATAAAAAATCTATTAACTTTGGAAAGTTCATGTGATTAAGCATTTAAGCTAAATATAAATAAAATGCCAACGTTATCGTCGGAGTGTGATAATTATAATATGGGAAACTATACTCTCATGTTGTTGGAGAATATTTTTCTCTCCTACACATATATTGATTTCCGTATTTTTTCTTTTTTCTTTTCTTTTTTATAGGTGGATGGGTCCCACATATAATTATCTCTATAATATGATAGAGTTTCTCTCCTATTGCATGAGATTAATAAAGCCCTTATAATATATTATTCCTTTTTCTTCAAATGTATTATGATGTTCTAACAAATGAATATGTTGTTTGCAGCTAATTTATATAGGTGAGCCCCCTCATTTATCATTTTTATAGTAAGAAAGAGTGCTTGGAAATTGGAAACATTGACCAAGTTGCCATGTTTTCTCAAAAAAAAAATTCAGAATGCCCATGCTATCTAAAAAATTTACCAAAATGCCATGGCAACAAACCTAATGTCAGTGGCCACGAATTTGATGTGCCACGTGGAACACTTCCCGAGGTCACCAAACTCGTTGTGAGTAGCAGCGAGCTTGGTGGTCAAACCAATCAGACTGCTTCTGCTTTTGGTACACGTGGCAAACAACATGAAACTTGGTAGCGAGTTTCAGTCTAATGTGTACGACAAGAACTTGCTGCCATTGATAACGAATTTCATGATGCCCAACAAACATCATAAACTAGCCAGTACTCCTAGCGAGTTTTAGCCTATAAAATCCCCCACCCTACTCCCCCATTCACAACATCTCTTCATCGAAACTCTAGAGATTCTCATTTCTCCCCATTCGAAACATCCCCCTATTTTTGTCAGTGTTATTTCTTGCTCCTATTTTTTTTTTTTTAAATAGAGTGATAGTAGTGATTCGATAATTGCCATTGTGTATTACAATGAAAGGAGATATTTTGGTCCTAATGGTAAATTTTTTGAAGGAAATACAAAAATGTTCAACAAGAGCTCCCAGTGTAGTTATAATGATCTAAAGAAGACAATAAACAAGAAGATCATATTACAATGGGGTTAATCTATATCTTGGTTGAATGCTAGATGTGTCTCGGGTAACGAGAAATGGGTTCCCATGAAATTGTTGAGGATGAAGATGTTGCGTTAGTAGTTGATGCATTTCAAAATCAGCAAGACACCATATTTATTGAATTTGTTGCGAAAGTAGACTTTGATGGATAACCTAGCCGTCAGCATTCCTTCCGTTCAATTTCCTCCCTCCCTATAGCGGGCAAACAACTAGCCATATACGGTATTGATCAGCGGTATGCGGATACGCAGGATAATAGGCATATGGCCTCCATCGTATTTGGCACCTACACAAAACATCCAGGTGATATTGATATTTGCTCAAATTCCCGAATCGTTGTTGACAACGATCATACGCAATAAATATGAAATAGAAACTCGAGTATGAGTAATTATAAAATACTAATTAAAAAATTAATAACTATCTCATACATGTGTCCATATATTGGGCTTTTTTACTCTTATAACCTTTAATTAATAATTAATTACCAATTTGACCTTCATTTGAAACTAATTCGAAAATTTAACCCTTTCAGAAAACATAACACCAATCTGCCCCTGTTTGACCGTTGACCATGAAGCCTACCCGGGTACACCCCTCCCTACCCTGGTATTTTTTGAAATTTTTTATCTACCGGGTAGAGAGGGGTGTACCCGGGTAGAGTTCTTGAATCTGGAAAAATAGTTGAATTAGTTACCCGGGTAAGAAGAGTTGTACCCGGGTAAACATCCAGAGTAGCGTTTTTATATAACCGAGATGCTAAAAAGTTTCTTTTTCCAATTCATATTCTCCTCGGATTTATATTTCTATCAGGTTAATGAAAACGCAAAAAATTGAAGCACCTTCTGATTACAGAAAACAAAATGAAATTAGTAAAAAATTAATACAACATTACCATTAAGCACCTTCTGCAAAACTCACCATTTTTCTGCAACGTCACAACTAAGTAAAACTATAGATAGATAGAGAGAGAGAGTAATGACCTGCTAATTGGTTGATGGAAACAAATTCATTAGGGCTGCCATGGCGAGGAAGCCTTGGATCTTCGTTGCTATCGTCCATGAACCATGTCTGTCACAGTTTTTTTTTATTTATATAAAAACGCTACTCTGGATGTTTACCCGGGTACAACCCTTCTTACCCGGGTAACGAATTCAACCATTTTTCCAGATTCAAGAACTCTACCCGGGTACACCCCTCTCTACCCGGGTAGATAAAAAATTTCAAAAAATACCAGGGTAGGGAGGTATGTACCCGGGTAGGCTTCGTGGTCAACGGTCAAACAGAGGCAGATTGGTGTTATGTTTGTTCGGGAGGGTAAATTTTTGAAATAGTTTTGAATGAAGGGCAATTTGGTAATTAATTATTAATTAAGGGTCATAAGGGTCAAAAAGCCCATATATTGCATTTGCTTGTACTGTGTCGGGCAGTTCATGAGAGATCCTCGAGAATCTGGTCTAGGTCCACAACTAGAGTAGAAAGACATAGCCACCCATATCTACGTGTGAGATGTCTGACAGTCTAGATATTTTACTAAAATAAAAAACACTAATATATATATATATATATATATATATATATATATATCACGAAAATAATTAAATTATATTAATAATATATTTATAATTATTATTTTAAATATAAAATTAATATGTCAACTATCCTATGGTTTAATCCCCATACTAACTCATATAACAAAATAAAAAAATATGTCATCTATCTTAGGGTTTCAAATTCTAACCTATACTAATAATGTATAACTAAAAAGAGAGAGAAACTAACCTTGAGAGAGAGATGAAAACCAAGAGAGAGAGATATATATATACAAATTTTTTAGAGAGATAGTGAGAAGTTTCGAATGAGAGGTGGCATAGGGGTGGGGTTCAAGTGTGGGTTTTTATAGTGAGAAACTCGTTGCCATTGGCAGCGATTTCCTTACCGTACTCACTACAACTGAT